ATCAAGCATCTTTTAAATTTAATTGAAGGCCATTTAAAGTTTTTTCTTATTATTTCGCAGAAAGGTTCGTAAGTATCTGGATTTTCGAAATAAATGGAATATAACTTTTCGGGTACTACATTTTCTTTCACAAATTGCATGACGTCATTTTCAAAATTATTTTCCGATAATTGGACTAGAAATCTTCTTTTCTTCTCGAATAATATCAAGCGTTTTGTTTTTGCAGGTGAATGCAAAACGCTCGTAATAATCACTTGATTAGCTCCGTAATTAACTGCTGATTCTATAATAGGGACTCCTACTATAGGATCTTGTTCGTTATTTGTATGTATGGTTTCATTGTCGTCTTCATTTGCTGGTGGGTCAAGGTCGGGTTGTGCCATCGTTGAAATTAGGTCTAAGTTATCTTCGTTTGCATTTATATTTCCGTTGTTCGTGTTCGACGATGAGGTGCCTTCTTGTTCAAGTTGCTTATTAAATTCCTCGATGTATGAGACTAAACTCGAGATGTTGGCGGCGTCTTTTGTGTGTAACTCAATGCGACTTAGCGCGTCAGCATTTGTGTTAAGTTTTCCTTTCTTATATGTTATTTGGTAGTCGAATTCTTGTAATTTTATTCGCCATCGTACTAATTTTGAAGTGGGATCTTTATAGTCAAACAGCCACTGTAAGGGTTTATGGTCTGTTATGGTGTTAAACTTTCGTCCATACAGGTATGGCCTAAAATATTTTGTCGCCCACACTAGGCACAAACATTCTTTCTCAATGGTAGAGTAGTTTTGTTCCGAGTCGTTCAATGTACGGGATGCGTATGCTATTGGCAGGTCCTGACCAATGGGCCCTTGCGACAGTACTGCGCCTAGCGCTACGTTGCTAGCGTCACAGGTCAAATTAAAAGTTTTAGAAAAGTCCGGGTATTGTAGTATCGGTTCATTTGTCAATAGTTTTTTACATTTTTCGAAACAGTCAATGAACTCTGGGTTATGTTCAATCTTGGCTCCCTTTTTCAAACATTTGGTTAGTGGTTTTGTTAATTTTGCAAAATTGTTTATGAAGCGTCGATAATAACCTAATAGTCCAAGAAATCCTTTTATTTGCTTCGTTGTTTTTGGTATGGGATATTTTTTGATTGCATTGACTTTATCTGGGTTAGGACGTACTCCTTCAGGTGTTATAACGTGTCCTAAGTAGGCTACTTCATGCCTTAGAAACTCGCTCTTATCTAATTGGATCTTAAAATTCGTTTCTCTTAATCTTTGGAATACGGTTTCTAATCGCTCCAAGTGTTCCTGTAATGACGACGAGAAGACTATAATGTCATCAAGGTAAACTAGGCACTTCTCGTTTTGGATTCCTCGTAGGATGCCATCCATGACCCTCTGGAATGTGGCAGGGGCATTGGATAGACCGAAGGGCATTCTGAGAAACTCGAAATGGCCATTTTCTGTACTAAACGCCGTTTTTTCAATGTCCTTTTCGTTCATTTGAATTTGATGGAACCCACTAGCCAAATCTAAAGTTGTGAAATATTGACACTTCCCTAGCTTATCCAGAAGGTCCGTTATGTTAGGAAGAGGGTATCTATCTGGCATGGTCTTTGCATTGACGCCTCTGAAGTCAATAACGACTCTCCATTTCTGCTTCCCAGAAGCATCTGCCTTTTTTGGGACTACCCAAATAGGTGCAGACCAAGGAGAATTGCTTGGGCGTATAATATTCTGGTCCAGCATTTTCCTTATTTATGATTCAACCTCTTGCTTATGAATGAATGGGTACCTATATGTTTTTGTATATACAGGCTGTTCATCTGTTGTTTTTATAGAGTGTTTTATTTCGCTCGTGAATGTCAATGGCATATTTTCCTGGTAAAATATGTCCGAATATTTTCTACATAATTCAATTATTTTGGCTCTCTCTTCTGAATTAAGGTGATCTGTGCGAATTCCAGTATAGTCAAAAATATCAGTATCGTAATTTGATGCCACAAAATTATTTAGATTAATTTGTTCTATTTCTTCTCTATTAAATGGTTCCACTTCAATTGGTCGTGAAAGATCTAATATAATTGGCTGACATGTATTGTTCAAGATTGTCGTTAAAGCGTATCCATTTTTTGCAATGCTTAGGGAGTTCGGAATCTCGCAATTATGTATTTTCTGATATGGAATTATAACTTCGCCATCATGTATGCTGGTTTTAATTTTCACAAGCTGTTCGGTACGTGGTGAGAGAGTGATATTATATGCTTGGTTTATGTTCGTTCTTTGGAATTGTAACTTGATTTTTGCAAATGGAGTTACTAAGAATCCTGTTTCATAGTTTATGCTAGCTTGTAACATTTTTAGATTATCAAGTCCTATAAGGCCATCAAAGATGTTATGAAATTTAAATAAATAAAATTTCAAAGGTTTCCTATTAGGTAGATTAAAAATTTTTGAAGCGGGAATTTGAGCACTGTATTGGTGTGCTGATTGTTGGAAAACAGTTGAAACGATGAATGGCTCATAGCTTATGTAATTTGGAAAGAATTTTTGAGCTAAGTCGGGGTCTATGAACGACTTGGTGGAGCCACTATCTATGAGAAATTTGAGATTGCATTCAGGAAAGACGATATAGGACAGCTCACTTGCGTTGACGTTATTGAATGAAATTATTTCAGGTGATTCTAGGGTGCAGGGTTGGTTGACTGAATTTCCTGAAAATTTGATTGTTCCGAAGAACCAGCTGTGTCGTATTCTACGAGTTCAGTGGTTTGGAATTCATTATTTGAATCGTTATAATTATTGGAATAATTGTAACTTTGTTGAGGGTCAACTTCGGTCTCATAATAATATGATTCTTGATCATTTTCGGTGTAAGAAAGGTCAGTGACGTTCGTCGTATTTGTATTATATAGTTCTTCTGAAATAAAGTTACGTGGTTGCGTAACTTGGAAATAATTATTACCAGAAGTTTGTGGTGCATTGGTAGCAGAATAGGTTTGTCTTGTCGTTGTAGACATTGGGGTAGGTCTAGGAAAATTTTTGTTTTGACCTGGTTTAAATACATTGGTCTGATTTTTATTTTTGAAGACCTGTGAGTTAGTTGGGAATTTTTGTTGTATTTTATTATAATCAGGTTTCACATGAATAGGTTGGGATGGAAATTTTTGTTGAGTGAACGTGTTATTTGGTGTATTAGCATTAAATGTGTTGGAATTATTGTATCTTTGTTGTGTATTTTGTTTGAAGTGCTGTGAGGGATGTTTTTGTTGAGTTTTAGCTATATTCTGAAAATATTGTGTATTATATTCCTGTGTGACAAACTGTAAAGCTTCGGGAAGGTCTTTGGGACGCATACACCTAATTGTTGTTCCCAATGGTTCCCTTAAGCCTGATAAGAAAGTTTTAAGGGCAAGATCATTGTATAAGTTTCGCTTTAAATTTTTCGCATTTTGGTCAACTTCATGACTATTTACATAAGAACAAAGCAGGTTTAAAATATGCATAACCCTGTCATAATATTGACTAGGCTTTTCTGAGTTTTGTTGTCTCAACATTACGAGATCTCTGTTTAAACATGCCTCGTCTCTTTGATCTGCAAAATGCCTGCTCAAAGTTAATTTCAAATTATCCCAAGTAGTAACATTTTCTGTACCTAGGATCAATTTTGCGTTCCCAGTTAGTTTTCCAATGATGCAATTTATCAAGTAAATATTTTGAAAATGGTTTGGTTGATTTGCATCATAGAAATTATCAATTAAACTTTGGCATACTGCCAAATATCTATTCAAATCGTTAGGGTTACCATCGAATTGTGGTACGCAATTTAAGTACTCAGGTTTAAATTGAGCCATATTGTTAATTGTATTAATATTATTTAAAATTAAATTATTTTGATTAGTGCTTGTATCAGTAACTGCAGCACTGTTATTTAATGTTTGATTAATATTTCTTATAAACTCTTCTGTATCAGAAGGTGAGTCAGTTGAAGGTAGAGATAGAGATAATAATCTTTCTGTTAATTCATCAATATCAGACATTAAAGAAATTACAAATTGCACATTGCACTTACATGAAGATTATTCCGTAGAGCAACATTTATAAGGCCAAGAATTTCTGGTAGGCTATGTTTATCCTTCCAAATTAATCCTGGTCTCGCGAATATTGGCTATTTTGGTCCAATAATCCGATTGCTTGAAGGCAGTTCTTTGGTTTTCGATTTCGTAAAGCCACTCCGACACTTCTCGCAAACACTTAACACGATTTTCACACAAGGGTGTAGATTCGAGTTCCCGGTTAGTCCGATTTCCGAAAAGTTCGTAAACCAGTTCCAAAAACAAAAAAATCCGGACGACTGCGCCAGTTATCAATACGTAGGCCGATAACAAGTTTTTAAAAAACAATTTATTCACTAAATTACAATAGAGAAATACTTTCGCGTTCGCGTTACAAAGTTTCAAATAAGAAATATAATTACAATTCAACTGACTAACTATTCTAGGCGGGCAGCGATATTTATAATAAAGAAAAGCGAATTAAGCAGTTTATATGAATGGTCAGCAAATGGAGCTGACATTACTAGCGCGAAAATATTCAAGTTTTTTATTAAGGGTAACCAGCAGTAAATATATTATTGTGACTAAAGTCACTGCTCGCCAATTTAACATCTTGCCAAATTTCTGAATTTGGGATCTCACATATATGTTCGGAAAGAACTATTATATGCAATATATAACTTCCTCTAATTTAGCATATGCCATCAGCAGCCCCGCCGGATAAGGCTCCAAGGGCGTTAAGTCCAGCAAACAAAGATACGAGTGGAATAAATCTCTAAAATTATGACTTTTGGATAACACTTATCGTTTTGCGAGCTGCTCGAAGTGTCGATTTCAAATAATCGCTGGTTCTTTTTCCACAATGATGCTTCAACAGCTTTATTTTAGTTTTCCTTGCAGCAATATAACTTTAGGCGACCCCTATAAATGTGTCAACAACTAAAAAAATCCAACTCAATTCCAGATGCAACGAACAAGTGATCACTCGTACAAACTTCCACAGAGCTTTGCTCACTTGCGGATTCGAGCTCAGCTGTAACGAAGTCGAAACCCTTGTGGATGTGTAATAAAACCCAATTCAATAATCAAATTAGGACAAAAACTAATTCATATTCGTAGATTTGCTTCACCGTTGCGGCAAGAGTGCGTCGATTATCGTCAGTTTGCTGATACCGTAGAAGAAGCCTTCACGCAATCTTGTCTGGAACGGGCTCCGCTCATCGTGCCCATCCAGCACGTGCCCACCAAAGATTGCGAAAAGAATTTCTTGAATTTCGACGAGAGGTTGATTTTGAGCGTGGCCATGCAAAAGTTGTCCAAGAAGCCCGATTTGAAGATGAATTTGTCTTCAGTTGTAGCGGTACGATAATCAGTTTCATATTTGAATCAAATAGCTTAATTTTTTTTTTAAATAGGACTTTGATAAAACAAATTGCGGCACGGTGTCCAGGACGAACTTTATGAAAGCGCTAACGGTACGGGGAATGTTGAATTTGATTTCCAATAACGAGTTCGATGTGATTTGTAAATGTTTCGGGTTCGAGAGGGGCTTGCGCGACGAAGTCGATTATAGGGCTTTTATGAGAGCTCTGGATATTTTGTATGCGACAGATAAATATAATCCATTTTAAATTGATTTGTGATTTAAATAAATTTTCAATCAATCAAGCTTTATATTTTATTGTTGTTATTATAACCAAAATGTTATTAAAAATCGCGTGTGAAAAGTGCTATTTTCAACACAAAATTCCGAAATGAGTGAGTTAGTAGGTATTTATATTACAAGTATGGTATGAGCTTCATGACGGTTACGAGTGAGAAATATAAGACGAGGTCGTAGACCGAAAGGTGTGGATGTGGTAACCACACGAGTGCTATAATGTGCGTTACCGTACGTGTGATATACAACATTTTATCTACCACTCAGATTTTTTTTTCGTATCTATTCAAAATGGTTTTCATTTGTCACAATTGTCACAACAACACGTTACAATGACTATGTTACATCACTAGTGATATAAACCGCTCACTACATCACTATAGTACGATGATATAACTTATTACGTACTTAACTCAAACAGGCTAAAATAGGTTTCGTAAATTAGCTCTTCTTATAGCTGGAGTCCATTAACCGTCGTATGTATAAAAATATTTCAAATCAATCAGGAGATAAACGGCTTTACCTTCGTTATTATGCATTTAATAACAATTATTTTGAAATATCAAAATGGGATAATAGTTATTTTCACATCAAGTAGGCAAATAAGTTTTTGAAGTGAAACTCATTCTCAACGTGCGCTAGAAATAAAATTTCAAGGTGGTGACACACGATGAGCCAGCGATACGAAAATACAGGGTGTCCCAGCCGAGAGTGACCCATTTTAAATGCTTATAACTTTTGAACTAGGTGTGCTAGCTGCCTGCGGTTTGTGCCATTCGATTTCTCTTGATCTAAAGTTTTTTCTAGTAGTTTTCAATTTTTTTTAAAACTTGTACAGGGCGAGTAAAAAAAAAACCGTTTTTCAACATCGAAATTTTCCACTATTTTGAATGGAACACCCAACGTCAAAAAAAAGAGTCATGTTCAAGGTATCCGGGTGCTTTCCAGTGACCCATTTGAGTTACTTCTGAGCAGCTAAGGAGTACTCCACAATTACTTTGCGCGTTCCAGTGCTTAGAGTGTCGTACACCTCGTGAACTACTTATTTCTGTTATCCCCTGCCCCCTCGTGCACCAACCCTTATTTCGGTGTTTCATACTCCAAGTCCGAAATGATGGGGGTTAAGACGAGAGCGTTCCAGTGCTGCTTATGTCGAACAGTTCAAGAGCGTCACACTCTAGGAGCATGATGCTTTAACAATTTGTGTACCAATAAATATCGACCTTTAAACTTAAAGTTTCAGTCGTAAAAAATCAAAATTGAAATCTTGGTATTTTTTCTATTTTGGTGTCATATCGAAGTCTTTTCGACACTAATAGTAGTTTCGAAAAGAAGGTCTTTGTGACACTCCTTTTTTACTTATCGGAGGTTGGTAACACTGGCTGACTGATGGCCATCGAACTATCATTCGCGATTTTATAATAGAAGATTTCTATATTTGGCATGTAGTGTTACCAACCTAAATATATGAAATCGAAATATGAGAATAAAATTTCCAAGAAAAATTTGTTTTCTTTTTAATTAAACAATACCAAAATAGAAAAAATAGTATAAAATATTCGTTTTGTAATTTGTATTTTAATTTACTTGTATGAACATTTAAGATAGGAATGTGAAATCGGTTTTAGTCTTAAATTAACCGTTTAGGTTTTACAGCCTGTCAAAGTTGCAAAAAGTCAATTTTCAACTGTCAATATTTCCAAAACAGTTGAACTTAGGCGGCGTTCCGTATCTTAACCAGAGTTACCGATTGGTATGAAGCGGTTCGTCTATGGTGACAGTCTGGTTCCTGAGAATGCAGTTTATGTGTGGAACCGCGTTTCATAACCTAACCAAATTTCGGGAGTGGTTAGGTTACGGAACGGGAACCGGAAAAACCAAGAATCTTGGTTAACTTACGGAACGTCGCCTTAGGTATAGAGTATATTTCATGAAATCTACTCAGAATTTCACGTAGAATCCAAATATGCAATCACATACAGGGTGTTCCATTTGAAATACCAAAATTCTGTCGCATACCCTATAAACGGAACACCCTGCATAATTGAAAATATTTTTTAATAATGCATATTAGAGTATCAAACAACTTTGTAATATATTTTTTTTTCTTGCATCAACCTGTAAGGAGATATCGTCCGATATCGCACTAAGTGGACACCCAGTATATTCTAAACTACGACCACTGGGGCAAACAGCTGAGAACTTAGTTAATGACGTCGGCAATGATGCTACACCATATGACCGCGATTACCAAAAACGAGGCTGATAAGCAATGCTTAGTATTGTATATTATCCTTGAATTTCGATGGGGAGACAAACAAAACGTTTATTAGTTATTTATTTATAAGGACCATAAGTACTCTAAAACCGTACCGATTTTGGAAAAAAAAGACACAATGTTAATACATTTTTAATCATGAGAAGAAAGTTTAACCCACAAGCTCTAGCGAATGGGTTAATTTCCTTCTGATGTGTGTAAAATCTTCAAATGCATTTTTTGTCCCCCTATCGAAAGTGAGGTTATATGTGTGACGTCAGCTAGTGCGGTTACGATAGGCATCCTTCATTAAAAAATTTGATTTCGACGCACATTTTGTCTCATTACTTTGTTAATATCAATCCGATCTCAACGGAATTAGGCTCAAATTAAAGCCCGTCAAATGCTCAACAATTTTTCAATTAATAGATTTGATACAGTTTCTACTGAACTCGATTTGACGACTCAAAAATACTCAAAAAAAAAAATTACTGACGCAAGTTTCCACGTGTAACTTATAATAATGTAAAATAGATTTTTAAAAGAATTTTAATAATAAATGTGGATAATTAGTGTTTGTTTGGATTATAGTTTCCATGGCGATTTCTAACGAGTTAATACGAAAAGAATAAGACAGTTTCAAAGATGTAAACTGTAAATACATTTTCAATAAACCTACGACTCTTTATGTGGATTCTCCATAATTTCAAAGACCTCAAAGATAAATAATAAATAAGCACTTTTCTCCTCATTAAACTTGCCAACCAATATTTCCACAATTCATTGTCTTAAATTCTCGTTCAATCTGGGAAATTGTATGGAAAACGAGGGCATAGTCCCAATAAGCAACGGGTAAGCAATTCAATTTTATTTTTGCCTCAATATTAATCTCTCAGAAAGAGTCATAGAGTTCAATATGGACACCAAAGCGATCGACATTTACTTTTTCCCACCGAGTCCACCTTCTAGAGCGGTTCTGATGCTAATGAAAGCTTTAAATTTAGAGCACAACGTTAAAACCACCAATCTTATGGCTGGCGATCATATGAAACCGGAATTTTTAAAGGTAATTTATGGATTCAGGAACCTCTTATTTATGGCTTTCTGATTGTAATTAATTCATTATAGAATCAATAAAACAAATAATTCTTTGTTAATAATTATTAGATGAATCCATTACATACTATTCCGGTGATCAACGATAACGGTTTCACGCTCTATGACAGGTAAGCTTGATTCCTATCCGTAAGGTGGCGCTCAAATCGAATTTTCAGTCACGTAATAATGAAGTACTTGGTAGACCAGTACGCCAAAGACGACGCGTTATTCCCGAAAGATCCGAAAAAAAGCGCTTTGGTCAATTTGCGTTGCCAATTCAGCGGCAACTATTTGTTTACCAAATTCAGGGATTATGTGGTAAGAATTTCTTATTGTTATCAATCAGAAAATGCGATTCGGTAAATTTCAGATGCCTACGGTACAATCAGGTCAAGTACCTTCGGATCAAAGTTTGAAAGAGCTCGAAGATGTTCTACAGTTGTTGAACAGTTTTTTGGAAAACCAAATGTATGTGGCGGGTGAAAATTTGACAGTTGCCGATTTTTCCATTATAACTATCATCACGACAATTGACGTAAGAATTTTTGTTTGAATTTTCTGTCACGTCAAAGTCCTTACTTGCAACAACATTTTAATTATCAGGAAAATTACTGAAAGGTCAATTGTGAAAAAGAGATTTGAATGACTTGAATTTAAAATTTTACTCTCAGTAAAAACCTACTAGAACTACTCCGGAGCAGCTCTGGAGTAGTTATTTGAACTAAGCTTAATTTGAGTACTTAATTTTACTCACAGTAGAACCTCCTAAAAGGAAGGCAAAAAGTATGAACCCTCGTAAAACAAAGATTACTTGTTTCTGTAAAATCTCTAATAAAACTAGTTCAGAATCGATTCAAATTGAACCGCGAACTGTGAGTGATTCTTCTGCTCTTACGAATAGTTCCGAATCAATTTGCAATCCTTACTCTGAACTTAACTTGATTTAAATTTTACTTTCAATAGAAACCTATTAGAACCACTCCGGAGCAACTCTGGAGTGGTTATCACTTGAACTAAAAATTTCCTAGTAGAACTAGTTCAGAATCGATTCTAACTGAACCGCGAACTGTAACTGATGATTGTTTTGCTCTTTTGAATAGTTCCAAATCAATTTCCAATCCTAACTCTGAACTGAGCTTGATTTGAATTTTAAATTTTTCTTAGTAAAAATGTACTAAAACCTCTCTGGAGTGGTTTTCACTTGAACTACTCGTTTCTGTAAAATTCCTAGTAGAACTAGTTCAGAATCGATTCTAATTTAACCGCGAACTGTCACTTGATTGTCCTACTCTTGCGAATAGTTTTGAATCAATTTACAATCCTAACTCTGAACTAAGCTTAATTTGAGTTTTAAATTTTACTCACACGAATGAATAGTTCAAGTGATAACCACTTTAGAGCGGCTCCGGAATCTTCAAAACGTTTCAATTTTTAGTGTGATGTTTCTACAGAAATATTGAAAAATATAAAGCTTCTAGGATCTTTAGAATGTTCTAGAAACGTGATTTAATTTTTATTAATTTCCCAGCTTTTGATTGGATTAAAAATTCATATTTTTGAAAATCCTCGGTTCTTGATTGGTTTGATTTGACGTTTCAAAATTCAATTTTTTTTATTTTCCCGGCTTGAAATTCAAATTTCAATATTTCAAATATTTCTGTTTTTCAATTGGCGCAATTGGCTGTAAAATGAAAACTTTGAATTTTCCCGGCTCTTGATTGGTTTCAAACTTGAATGATTTTTTTAGCCAATTAAAAGTCAAGAATATTTGAAATTTGAGTTTTCTCTGGAAAACTACAGAGGGGAAATTGTGAAACTTTTAGGAGCAGAGCAGGGATCGTTGCTTGAAAAAAGTAACGCGATACTTTATATGTAGTTACTTTTGCTTAAAAAAAACTCGTTACTTAAAATTTACAGTTACTTTCGAATAATGATAACTTTATTTTCGTTACTTATTGGAAAGTAACGCGTTACTGTAATTTCTTTACTTTTAAAGTAACGCGTTACTTCAAAAATAACTATTTACGTCGAAAATGGCGTTATTCCTTAATTTGACTCACCAACACAGCAGTCCAAACAATCAAATAACCTATACGAAATGCCAATATGTTTTAAGTTTATGAGTCCGACTATGTAGAAGAGTTTTGTTGCAAAATTCAAACAGATTAAGGATTAAGCGACTAAATAGAGAACTTGGTTTCGGACAAACCTGCTTTTTAAAGCGTCTCACTGTCTGCATATATAGTGTCTTTAGAGCAGAAGCGGCGCGTGCCACGCCCAAAAACGATTATTTTGAGCCTTCAAGACAAATTTTCTGTACTACCCATATTTTATTTGACATACAAAGTTTTTGGATTACTTATTGTCCTTTTCCTCAATCGTCAATTATTTGTAAAGAAGATAAACAAATTGAGAAAACGCGTTACTTTCATAGTAACTAGTAACGCGTTACTTCCATGTAAACGCGTTATTCTCATAGTAACGCGCTACTTTCATAGTAACTCGTTACTTTAACCATAGACTTCTTTAACAAAATAACGATCTGCAGTAACTTCAGGAAAGTAACGTCGTTACAGTTACTTATCAATCAATCTGAAAAGTAACGAAGTTACCAAGTAACGCGTTACTTTCAGAAACTCGTTAAAGTAAAGTAACTATTTTTTGTCGTTACTCCCAGCTCTGTTTAGGAGAAATAGAGGAAAGTTAGGAGTTCATCATATTAAAATTTCAAACCTTTCCAATGAACAGAATCGAAAATTATGCAAAATCTATGGCGATAGCTTTGATTATCGAATGGTTAAATTTACATTAAAAAATACGAGTTTCAAGTTATTTTCAATTAACATATCCCTTTTCCATAATAACGTCTCTTCTCTTTTAGTAAAACTTTCCAATCAAACCAAAGAGCGGATTATTAGAGGGACATTTTCAATCTCTTTGAGTTCATTTTCATAAAATTTCAATTATAATTTTTGGGTTTTCAGGCTTGCGGTTGTCTCGACATAACGCAGTACCACAATGTCTGGCTGTGGTACCAGAGAACCAAAAACGCCATGAAAGGATTCGGCTACGAGGAAGTGAACCAGACGGGAGCCAACGCTTTCGGTCAAATGTACAAGTCCAAAATCGCAACATTAAAATAGGAAATTTCTAGTTTCATTGTAGATTGAAATATGCATATGTTCATTAATAAAACTATAACAAATACATATTGTCTGGCCAGGGGATCTGAAGCTACTCGGTATTGGCTAGGGTTCCCGTAATTTTATCTTGAAATATCGACCTATATCGTCACTTATATCCCATAGCTTCAGATTCGTTGGACAGACAATAATTTAAATTTTTCACAGACAATCAAAGTCACTTTTACTTAGATGGGTACCTAATATAAATTGGTAGCGCAGCATATCAAAATTATATTTTATTTTCCTAATAAAGTGCGAAAAGTGCTATTTTTTAGCATAAAACGCGATTGGTTTAGTAGAAAAAATCTCATCGACCTAAGGAAAGAGAGACAGTTTGAGTTAGTCTGAGAGGTAAAAACGGCATTTCAATTTCATTTTATAAATTTCTATTGAGATTAAAAATTGAAATTCTAGGTATAGAGACATCTAAGTCATCTTATCCTAAAATTATCATAATCCAGGTAAAATTTATTAAATGAGACACAATAAATAAATAAAAGTTAAAAGCTTTTGGTACCCAATAGTTGAAACAGGTAGGTACTTTAAAGATAAGACTATTGAAAAATCTACCCAGGAAATACCCCAGCAATAAAAATACCAAAATTAATTATCCCCAGGTCAAACTGCAAATATAATTCGTCTCAGTTGTTACAGAAAGCTTGAAGACTAAAGAGTGAAGTAAGTTAATTTTTACATTTAAATCAAACACCAATAAGTTTCAATTATTATTATTATTTTTTTTCTAGAATGCAACAAATAACTATTTTATCTATAATACTTCTTTCATTAAAATTTGTATGCTCTGAGAATATTGATGTGACTACTCCTTTGTCACAAGCTCCAACAACTTCTACTCCAGAAAAACTACCAAAAACCGAAGACAATGTAATTTTAAACGCAATGGAAAGCTACTTGACCGAAACCAAAAAACCAGATCCACCTCAGACTCAACTGCAAACCGGTTACATGTACCCAATTTATCCAACTGGATATTTTTATCCAGGAGCAAGTAACGCAGTGGCTCCACCGATAAGCCAGGAAGTGAAAAGCTACAACTATTTTTCGACAGTTTTACCAGCAGCGCAAGTAAGTAATTCAAAATTTGAAACTTTCTCTAAAAATTTTTTTAGATGGGGTTTGAAATTGTCCGAAATTTGTTCCTCTATTTCCTCGTTCGACATTTCGTGCTCAAAGTTGTTAAGATTTTCGACTTGATTTTGGATATTCGAGAAGTTCTCGTGACCGATGAACTTTCGAATTATTTAACAAAGGTAAACTACTGAAGACTTTTTCTTTATTTTCGGTCAATTTCAAACATTTGCTTTTGCAAAACAATCCCAACTTCTGCCATTTTACAGGATGATTGATTAATTGATTTTGATGCAAATTTAACGATTGAATATCCAGAAGTTTGTAACTATAGTCTATTTTTTAATCATAGGGTACAATAATTGTGTCAAAATATGCATTCGTTATATATAGTTTATGGCGTTCCTATACATACAACGAAAAATCAAGCTCATTAAAAGTAGTAATCAGATTATTATTTTTTTTCTAGGCTGCCCTACAAGCAGGACTGAAACTATTCGCAAAACTTGGTCTATTTCTCATGGGCGGAGCGGGACTTTTAGCCCTAGGAGGCATATTCGTCACCCTAATGTGCTACCTCACCCCGATTTGTACAATTTCATTCGCCGGCTACGATTTTAATAAGGTAAGCATCCAGAAAATCAAAATCTAAAGTTTTCAAATTAATAAACAAGTTATAGAAGGGTTTATCGATATACAGAGTGATTCAATCTTCTGACACCATATAACTTTTGTTTGAGCTTTTTTTTTTTCAAAAAGATACACGCCGTTCTCGAAATATTAGACTGTCCTTAAGTTAAATGGATTACCCTGTATATATCGATACGCCCTACATGTAGGTACAGGGTGTTTCAAATTCAAGCCACATCATTAGGATCTCGGAAGCGGTAAGATATACAGGGTTGGTTAAATTAGGACAAAGTTGCGTTTGATGCTTAACAAAATGCCGCTTTGATATTTAGGATATTCTGAAAACCGAAATTTTAAAAAAATAGTTATTTATTATACAAGGGAAAAAGTACTAGATTTTAGCGCGAAATGTGGTTTGTCTCCCGACGCGAAGCGGAGGGAGACAACACAGCGAACGCTAAAATCTTACTTTTTTCCCAAGTATAATACACTATTTTTTTCTGTGACAGGAAAATCTCAACATTTTCCATCTATCTATACATTATTCCCTTTGAGAAAAAAATTTGACTGGTACCTGTTACTTTTTTCCCTTGGGAAAAAAAATTGACTGGTTCCTGTTACTTTTTTCCCGTGGGAAAAAAAAATCACTTTTTTCCCAAGGGAGAAAAAGTGACATTTTTGCCCCTGTCAATAGGAACAAAAAGTCAACTTTTTTCCCGTCACAGAAAAAAAATTATTTTTTCCTGACTTTATTTGAAGTGATATTCCAAAAAAAAATATCACTTCATCATAGCCACTTTTTCTCCCCTACAGGATGCTACCATCAAATTTAAAATCTGACATTTTGTCTTTGGGCCACCATCATCATCTCTATTTTTTTAAATACGAACCTGGATTTTTTATTTCAGATTTTTAGAGCTTCTGATGTCTCAAAACTTATGACGTATCGAATTTATCCGAAAAAATATTTTTTAAACTTTTTAGTAATTTCCTACCAAAATTATCTTCTCTGTCTCTTTTACACATTTGGTTCATATGGAAAGTACCAATAATATAAATTTTTTGAATAAGTGCAATAAGTCATTGGTTTTGCGACATCAGAAGCTTATGAAATCTAAAATAAAAAATAAGGGCCCATATTTAAAAAAATGAAGTAGATGATGGTGGCTCAAAGACGGAACATCAGATTTTAAATTTGTTGGTAGCATTTTGTAGGGAAGGTGGCAATGATGAAGTGATATTTATTTTGGAACATCACTTCACATAAAGTTAGGAAAAAATAAAAACAATTTTTCAAAATTTCGGTTTTTTTCCGGATATCTCCAGAAGTATTCGGAATATCCTAAATATCAAAGCGACATTTTATTAAACATCAAATTATGCAAGTTTAACCAACCCTGTATATCTTACCACTTCCAAGATCCCAATGATGTGGCTCGAATCTGAAACACCCTGTATATATCGATACAAATTTGTCATATCGATAAAGATCTTGCAATATTAAGTAAAAATATTCAATTTAAATGATCAGGCAGGGCATTAATGTTCTTCCTATTCAAGGCTCTTCATTCAAGAGCCGGGAATAGAGAAAAATTGAGCTGGAAAAATCGAGAAATAGAGAGAAGAAACTCAAGAGAAATTGAGCAGCTTTTGAATTTTCTCTTTTTAAAAAAATTTAGAAGAAAACAAAAATTCAAGAGCCGGGATTTGAAAAAAAATTGAGAAATAGAGGAGAAATGTAATAAAAGCTCTTGAAATAGACAAATATTGAGAAATAGAGAAAAAAAAATTGTATCGGTGCCCATGAATAATGATAAAGACGATAAATTGTTCTCTATAACAAAGTTTTGATCTGATATTTAATCCAACGTTCTCAAATTTATGTATATTAAATTAATAAATATCCTGTGCAGCATTGCTAATTTGATTTTCTTACTCAAAAAATATGTTATTTTTGCATGTTATTTTAAAGAATTTGGCAACACTGAATAATAAAATATTATGCAACCAATTTGACAATGTTGCCAAGCCTGATAGTTTTATCAAAAATCCAGTAACATTTTCTTAATTACAATTTTTTTTCTTTACATGAAAGAGTATCAGTTTCAGTAAGTCTTTGAATAAATTATCAACTCATTCATGTATTTTTTGGATGTTTTTACATGTCATTTCAAAGAATTTGACAACACTGAATAATAAAACATTACACTATCAATTTGACAACGTTGCCAAATCTCATAGTTTTCATCAAAAGCCTAAGAATATATATATTTTTTCCTTAATTTCATACTACAATATTTAAAGTCTGTTAATTTTAGGCCCTGGACAAAGAAACAATGAGATCCCTAATGACTCCAGAAAAAATCGCCTCAGCTGCAGCTCTGGTTCAGGACGCCATAGGAAAATATCAGCGACTGCAACGTGAAGTGGGACAATAATTTTTTGTTAAAATAGAAGCAATATTTTATTAGGATTAAAAGTTAAAAAGACATGTTAAATAGAAAATAACGATTTTTTTATCCTTGCTGCTGCTGATTCAATTTCAGCTGGATAATTTCGACGATGGCGTCCCTGATTTTACTCTTTTCTAAGCCCAAGTATTGAATTTTTTCCATTTGCTCCGTTACAAATTTGGTTTTTCTTTGAAAGTAATCTTTTGCCATTGGAATATCCTTAACACAAACATTTGTGTCAATTTTTTCTTTGAATTAAATATTTTATTTGCTTACCTTTTCCACATAATATCTGGTTCCGATGTCAATTATTACATTACTTGTTTCTATGAGTTTCCCTGGTACGTACATCTAAAGGGGAATTTGTTAAGAAAAATACTGGTAATATCGATTTGGCAACAATGTTTTAATAATTTTCTTTGACAATGTTGTCAAAAAACAATGTTGCCTCATCATATTTTGTTTGCCATGGTCTACTATTTTGGATTAAAACTGGATTTGGTATCAGTAACAGTAATAGTTATTTACCTAACAAATGCGGAAAGTGATACTTTACCGCACGCAACGGCAGTTGACGGTCAAGCTGTTAAGGGCGGTAAAGGCACTTTCCGCATGTGTTAGGTACAAAATTTTACCTATGAGCATCTACATCTCCAAAAAAAGGCATTGATGAAAATTAATTAATGAATCAGAATAATTAATGAAATTAGATAGGATTTAGAAATGATCAAAAATCCATTTTCTGAAAAAGAGAGGATTTTTGATTATAAATATCAAATTCTACTTTACGGTACACTATGCGGTAAAGACGGTACACTATGCGGTAAAGTGCACTTTACCGCACACTTTGTATTCTACTTTACCGCATACTATGCTGTAAAGTTAACTTTACCACACACTATGCAGTAAAGTGCACTCTACCGCATACTATGCGGTAAAGTGATACTTTCCATTTGCAAATACGTGCGGTAAAGTGCACTTTACCGCACGCTCGTAGGTAATAGTTATTTACCTAACAAATGTGGAAAGTGATACTTTACCGCACGCAACGGCAGTTGACCGAACGACGCAAAGCGGAGTTCGGTCAAGCCATTAAGAGTAGTAAGAGACTCTCGAGACCAATACTTTTGTACTGATTCGAGATCATAAATTGTTATGTAATTTAAGAATATAAATAAAGTTATTTTTCAAAAAAAAAAAATGGTTATTGTCATATCTTTTCTTAAGTTTCAAGTTACTGTTACTGATACTGACACTATAAATCCAGCTTAAATTCAAATAAAATAATTCTGTTTTTGCAAAAGGATACAGATCCTGTCAATGGCACCAATATATCTTTTCCTTCGCTGTCGGCATCGAAATTCTGTAAAGTTTCATTTGAAGTTTGGAATTTTTGTTGGGCCATTTTCAAAGACTGTAGGGATTCTTGAAAAAGGTCCAGCTCCTAAAAAGAATGCATTCCTTTATGAAAAAAATCACTTTTTTCATTATTGTTCTTGCCCATATAAGGGCTCCTATCCCATCCTTCTCAAATAAGGTTAGGAAGTTTTTGTTACCTGGTCCAACTGTTGTTTCAAAGTGCCCAATTGTTGAATGTTTAGGGTCGCCAGATCGATTTGTTTCATGTGAGGTTGTTCGGTGGCGGAAATTTGAGCCATTTTTATTGTATTTTATTTAAAAATTTAACACGAAAATTCGAAAAGCAAATTTTAAAAACACTTAGATTTTTGTTGACAGTTAAAAGTCAAGAAATAATCAGTGTAAGCGCTTTCGACTTTCGCCTCAAAACTGCACCCGATTTATCAAAAAGTGATCTGGAGCAGATTGATCACATTCGACTTGAAACGGAACAAAATTTACGTGTGCATCTTGAGCAATAGAACACTTTCAAATCTTACACGGAGCGCTCTTTCTTGCTCCGTCAAATTCGATGGATCAAAGAATTTGATTAAAGCAAAGTACGTTCGGCTATTGATTTTCCAAGAGTGTGCCCTCGATTGGATTAGAATCGCTCTCGGAGTATATTCGCAGAAATCTGTGACGTCATCGCTCAGACAAGGAAGGCTTTGAAAACAATAAAGTCGAAAATGTTAAAATTTTGTTCGTGGAACTCATATCGAATCAATTTGGAGTTCAGGATTATTATAGAGCGCATACCCGATTATGAACCAGTTTAAGATTTTAATTTTACTCTAAACGATATTGGAACAGAAAACGGAAGCTCTGAACTGTTCGGAATTGTTTCGGAATCGATTCTACTTGGAGCGCGAATTAGAACTCTAATAGCGCTTTCTATTTTTGTCACAGTTGATTTGTTTTCTTTCAAAACAATAGTCAACCGTGACTTACAGCCTTCCTGATTTCTATTTTTTTTTTCACTTTTGTCTTTGGTCTTTTGTGTACTATAAATTAACTTCAATTCCTCCACAATAATGAATTATATGATGCTGCGTGCCTCTGTTTTTTACCAATTCCCGTATCCACACATAAACAATTTTTTAATTTTTTGAACAAAAATCAATAACAACACAACAAGCTTGACAGTTTCCACATTCCACCCTCCTACCCTAAAAAGTCTCTTCTCGAGCCTTCGAGGTGAAACTTTTGGAGTGAACTCCATTTACTCCACTCCGTATAGTTGAACGTTAATGGAGTCACCTCTAATACGCCAAATAGCAATACCCGAACGGCTAGAATGCGAATGGACTCACTCGGAGTGCACGGAGTGAGCTAGCCGAACCCACCTTCACCTAAAATCTGTTTTTTTTTTTAAGGCCTCAACGGCCTCCCCCTTCAAATTATATTTTAGTTCTACAAAAAATTATAGATGAAAGCATTTTTACAGTGGAGCATTTTAAATATTATAGCGATTTCAATTTGCAAAATCAGTGCAACTTTTTTCACTCAGTTCGCACTGATTGGCTAATGGGATTATGGAGGGATTTGTATTTCCATGCCTGGTATTTTGTTTTACTCTGTAAAAGTGATGTTTTGTTGTAGAGCTTGTTTTTGAGGTATGTTTAGTTGTGGTAGGTACCTATGAGATTTTCAGGAAGCAATTGGCACATGAATGGGTTTACAAATAGAAGAATACTCGGAGGAATAATAAAAAAATAGTCTTACCAGGAGTCTTACACAATTTCACATATTGGTAAAAGATCCAAAAGCCAGTAAAAGAAATGCAAATCGCCAGATACCTAAATTGAATGCTCTACTGCATTGGTGGATATTATTATTGCACTAATATGCAAGAACATAAAAAAAAACTCTAATTTTAGCACTTTCCACCTTTTGTAAATAAATTTTAATAATTATTATTGAAGCTTTTTATTTTTTCAAAGACATTTTGTCCTACAAAACACGATCCAATTTTTTTATGTATACCTAGGTACGTAAAATAGATACTTTATTTATTTTCAATGGAAACTAATGGCACAGCATGCTTTGTGCCTATTATTTTATAAACCAATAATAAAAAACAAAACAAATACACAAGGTGAGAAAGAGGCTTTTCTGGAAACGCTGAACAACCTACATCAGCTGCTGCTCCAACAGTTCGGGGTTTTCGAAAACGCCTAATTATATGACATCACGAATTGACTGGTGGCGCCATCTTCGAAAAAAGCCTGAACTATATTTGCCAAAATATCTGTAATTTTATTCCAAAATCGGTTTTAGACTACAAAAAAAAACGGCACATCAGAATTTGCTGAAATTTGGCATAATAGCTATTTATGTACCAAGGGGATTATGTAGATTATAATGCCCGAAGGCGAAACTAGCCCGAGGGCCTATGGCCCGAGGGATATATTTCGCCTGAAGGGCATTATAATCTTGAAATCCCCGTGGTGCATACAATGCTTTATTTTCTACTCAACACAATGTTTTTTCATCAATTTGTTATTAACAAAATCAGTTAAACTTGTGTGACAGAATATTGTTTTGTATTTTGACATGTACCTGTACCTGTGACCTGTACCTGTACCTGCGACCTGTACATAGAAACGAAATACATTAATATATCTATAAACATCTCATAAGGCAAGGCAACGGTGGTGGTCCTGTGGGTTAACGCGCTGGACTACATGGGAAACATTGATGGTAGACCGGGTTCGAATCCTGGCTAGACCGAAAATTATTTTCGGTCAGACATTTAGTGGCTGCCTAGGGTAAAGTGCAAATTAATAGAACAACAACAACAAAAACACCTTAAGGTATTATAAGCGGGCGTTATAGATCATAACGCCCGCAAAAGCGGGCGTTATGGATCAGGTTGTTATAGGTGTGTTAACGTATTTCGTTTCCTAGGTATTATGGATCTATAATAGTAAAGTAGAAAATAAACATTCTTTGATCGATTATCTAGAGAATAGTGCTCTTATTTTTTCAATTTTTACCGTGGATTTTTCTATTTTTGGGAAATAGTTAATTTTCACAATATAGGCAAAAAAAAAATTCGAAATATGGAATATCTAACTGCACTATTCTCTAGATAATCGATCAAGGAATGCTTATGCCAAATTTCAGCAAATTCTGATGTGCGGTTTTTTTTGTAGTCTAAAACCGATTTCTGTATTTTGTATCGTGTGCATGGGAGCGATGTTGCCCCCTTAAAGATAAAAGTCAAAATGACATTATTATGTTGGCAATGCAATGTGAAATTGTCAATGCTTTCAAATTTTTTGTGTAGAAAAGGCTTGGGGAATAGACCTATCTATTTTTACCTGATATGCGCGCGCAACACGAGGCAATGCCTTTCTATTGGCTAACTAGTACAGGTGAGAGGTGTTCGTTTTGTACGCTGAGTATCTCCTTGTCCTTGTTCATTGCCCGTGGTCTGACAAGAATAAAAGTACGATTAATATTCAACTTGACATTACTTCACAAGTGACATTCGAAAATTGTTTTTGACAAATACGTTGCACAACATGCGGTCTTTCTCACTGGCGCCGACTACATGGGGGCATCGGGGCAGGTGCACCCATGAGCGCTCTCGTGGGAAATGCGGAATTACAAGCGTGTTTAATGGTCATTCCAACGGTGGTTTAGCTATAACGACTTGGTGTTTGGCTTAATTTTTACTTACTTTTTAATTTTGTTTTTCTTCTACTTATACCCAGGGTTGCCAACTCTCCGGTTTTGACCCGGAGTCTCCGGATTTTCAAGGTAATTCTCCGGTCTCCGGAATACATGTATGTTTCTCCGGGTAGAATTCGTAGGAGTTATATAAAAACCAAGATACGATAAAACATGTTTCCTGAAAAATTCATGCGAAATAAATGGCATGCCGGCATGGTAAATAATAGTCGTGATAACACATTGTAACCTCAAACTGCGCAATATAAATTCTTTCGCGAATTAACCAAACACTGGCAAATACAGAGAGACAACGTGAAAGAAGGTCTGTTTTGATAGAAGATCTGTTTTCACCGAAATCACAAACCCGTCAGAGCGAATTTCATTGGTTGAAAATAGTCAGAAAACTGGTTGTTGGCGATTCACACCAATCAAAAACGCTCTGAATGGTTTTCGATTTCTGTGAGAGCAGACCTAGAAACACAGCTTATGGGATCATGGGAGGTGATTTGCGTCACATGGCAAAAAATAATAAAATTTTATTGACTATTAGAACTGTCAAAAAGATTTCTTTAAGATTGTAGGTATACCTAGATTTTAATAAGTGTAATATGTTGTAACTGGAATGAAATGTTTTATTTTTGATTTTTTTGTGTTTGTTGGGTATTGAAATAGCAAGTTTCAATTAACATATTTTTGGGAAACGTCACTTTTATTTCAGTCGCGGAAAAATCTCGTGAACCCATTTCAGGAGTTGGCAACCCTGCTTATACCTATTTCTTCGACTGTACAGTTTGTCCCATTTTTGTTGTACATAAGGGATATCTCTATCTCAGTTGCTATTAGAATTAGAAGGATGCGGTTTTCGCTCGGGGTTTTGGAAACGTTTTTTCTGTGAAACGAAAGATACCGTCAATAAAATTGTCCTCGCCCTTTTCGTTCTTCAGATACAAGGTGTTTTTGAAAATGTTGCATTTTGGGACACCCTTTGTATCTTAGCTCTCTCATAAGTGATCCAAAACGTGATAACGGGTTCCTATAGATATTTTTACGTAGATTCCAGAAGCGTTGTCAGTTTTTTTTCTAAAAGTGATAGTTTTTAAATTATGAACCAGACTTACGTTATTTCAAATGAGATACCCTACATATTATAAACTCATTGGATAGCTTTGCTTTTGCTGATTTCAATGATATAAAATTCGATAGCTTTATCTCTGACAGTTTTCAAGCAAAAAAAATGTATGTGTTTTTGTCATGAAAAACGGTGTTAGAAAGGGAACTTTCTCATTTTCCTTAAGGTGCAAAGTCCTTTTCTGAAACATTGTTCCTTATGACAAAAACAAACAGGATGGAGATAAACCTATCAAACTTTATACCATTGGAATCAGCAGAACCAGAGCTATCCAACGAGCTATTTTAATATAGGATCTCATTTGAAAAAAAAGTATGTTTGGTTTATTATTCAAAAAATGTCACTTCTAGAGAAAAACTGACTTCGTCACTGGAATCTTTGTAGAAAGATCTATAAGAATCCGTTGTCCCCTATCCGATCGCTTATGAGAGAACCGACATGCAAGAGGTGTCCCAGAATGCAATTTTTCCAAAAACACCTTGTAAGTATCTGACAAACGAAAAGGGCGATGACAATTTTGATGACGGCATCTTTTTGACAG